TGCAGCCTTTGACAATCCGGACGATGGACTTTACGAACGTCAAATGGAAAAACACTGCGAACGCTTCGCCGTGCTTTCTCGTAATAACTTGTTAAATGAGCCGTTTATTTTGAAAGTGGCATAAGTCACATTACCGTAATGAAAAGTGGTGATTTTTTAATGTTTACACGAAATTATTTATACTGAGAAAAATATCAGTATCCTGAGATAACAAATACAAGTAAATCTTCTCGAAAGTTAGCATCCATAATTTTAAACGTGTTAAAAAACGCAAACCCTTAACACGTTCCGTGCCGAGCTTTTTTTACTCGAATCTTCACACTTTGATATTTTACTAAAACTTGATGTATTACGTGCAATTATTAATTCTCGTACACATAACAACGTAACAAAAACTTATCAACGCCCATTCTTGCGGTGGAAATTGATTCTTCGGTTCTAAATTTCTTGTAAACAATTTGTTCAGTTCACTAAGTAAACATGCAAGCGTGTACCATGGATGATACACGTGGCACGGAACGTGTTAAATATATCGACTTAAAAACAATGTGACTTATGCCACTTTCAAAATAAACGGCTCAAATATGAATGTTATCTCGCTCTTTTAAGCAGGAATAAAATACTGTTCCTTTCCACACATAATACAGTAAATTCTTCCCAATCGACCCCCAGTTTGTACACAAAAATGGACGATGTGGCAATTTGACAGAAATAACTGTCAGAGTGACAATCGAGATCTTTATGCGCTTATGCCATTTGCAAATTTTGACCAGAGTCCCGTCTCTCAAGAGACGCAACAAGTCTGAAGGTAATTACGGTACCCACAAAATGAAAGAACTTTGTCTCATGAAATCTGTGTCGATACAGTATCACGCCAAACCTTAGTCCCATAAAGTAATCATTTCATATTTGTGTAAAGGGTTAAAAGTGCAAATGAAGATCAATATCTTCATTCGCATTTTATAATAATCCTGAGTAGACTGACTAGACTGATTGACTAAACCGAAAGTTGATTCTGCGCAATTTCTAGTTTTGTAACAATTATAATTAAAGTGTAAACGAATTCTACATAATTCTTCATTGTTACAATAATTGAGGCTGAGTTCAGAGTTTTTGCACAATTCCCTATTTTTATAATAGTTCCGACTGAACCAAAAACTCATTATCATAACAACGGTGACAAAATCGAGAACGAATTCCGCATAACTCTACGAATTACAGTAAATTCTCCCAAATTGTCCCCCAGCTTGTACACAAAAATGGACAATTTGGGAAGAGGAGATATGATTATTCGAGTGCACCATGTTTTTATACTTGTTGAATAATAATCGTATATAATAATAATAATAATAATAATAATAATAATAATAATAATAATAATAATAATAATAATAATAATAATAATAATAATAATAATAATAATAATAATAATAATAATAATAATAATAATAATAATAATAATAATAATAATAATAATAATAATAATAATAATAATAATAATAATAATAATAATAATAATAATAATAATAATAATAATCGTATCTCCTCTTCCCAAATTATCCATTTTTTGATGATTTTTGAGTATCTATAATATATCCGGTGTACCGATTAAAAATCCGAGACAAATTTCTCCGATCAGCCAAGAATTAGCAAATACCTCGGCGATTCCTGCAATTTCCCCGATTTCTGTGGCCTATAGATGGGGAGCCGAACGATACTAGATCTCTCGCTACGGTTTTTTGGCATGCCACGAGGTCACTGTTGCCACTCCAGTGTTTTTCCTCGAACGGTAAAACGCTTTCGAACGGTTACGTTTTCTTGGATACCGTCCAGCCAACGAAACCGACGACGCGCGGCGGAAATCATCGCGGTCCGATTGAAATTAAAGCCGGCATAGATTCTGTTATCCGCTCGAACGGAATACGACGAACGCGAAGAGCTGACATAGGCTGCCGAGGAAATTAATTAAGACGAGCCAAGACGCCGGATTCCCCTAATCGTTTCCGACTATCTGCGATACGGTATAATGGAATCCAGCTGATTCGTCTTGATTCTAATTCATACCAGATTCCGCGGATCACTATAAATAGTAAATACGAAACGGATCACGGTTGAATCGTTTACAATTTTAAATCATTGCAACGGTTACAGGCGGTTTCGACGATTCATCGCCATGGCAACGAGCCGGCGAAAATTAAATCGGGAACAAAGCGGATATCGATTGAGCCAAGCAATCGGGTGATTAGATTAGACCTCGCTGGAAGACGGGAACACGACGATTCTTCTTTAATTTTTACGATTGCCACGACCCTCCACCACTTCCGGCGTTTGTCGATTTAATTGGACTTTGCTTTCCATTGGTTTCGCGGGGGGAGGAAATTGTGATCGGAGAGAAAAATTGTGTGACGCTTGGTGAAGTGATTTCGATAGCTCGATGAGATTTCCACAGCTTTATTGCAACCGCATTGAACTATGCAATGCATGATGCAGAGAATTTGTCTCGCCGTTCTAGGATTTCAAACAAGAAGAACGTCCACACAATGTTTGCGTCACACGGAATATAAATCAATTAATACAAATTGATGCCAATCGTTCGATGTAGGTGGATACGAATATATTGCGGATCGTCGCTCGTCAAACGCATCTAGTTAATCGGAATTAGTCGTGAGCGATTAGTACGCGCGTTTAAAAAATACAATAATAATACATATATTATTACAATAATAACAATGCGATAAATAATATCTAGAACAATCGCGTCCAAACATGTGAAATTACGAGACCGTATGAAACGAATTTGAAGAAGATGAAAACCCGACTTTTATCTCTCTTCCCCGAGTGTAGAAGATGAGAAGTGTTCCCTAATTGGATGTTAGATGCAATCCAATTACTTGAAGAGCATTGCTTGAAGCTAACTTGTCGATCGATGAATTCGATAGAAATTGAAAATTATGAAAGACAGATTAGTTCTTCCTCGATTTTCATAGCGTTTCAACCGAAGAGAAGTTAACGTTTGTCGAAATAGTTTCGAATACGATAAATTCTCCCTAATTGACGCTCAGCTTGGAAACAAAAGTGGGCAAATTGGGAAGAGGAGGTACGATTATTCGAGCCTTGCGGCTCGTTTTAATAATTACCGCTTGTTAACGCAACTATAAAAACGAGACGCAAGGCTCGAATAATCGTACCTCCTCTTCCCAAATCATTAATTTTTGTGCGCGATCTGAGCGCGAATTAGGGAGAATTTACTGTAAATCACTCAAGTGCCACAAAACTCCAACGCTGGATGAGGAAGAAGGGGAACAGCAGGGATCGTTCGCACGGTCCTTTGACCCGTGATCAATATTCGCAATTTCTCTGTCGGTTCCACCGAAATAGTTTCCGAACAATTTTTGAGCTCACAGACCCTTTTACGAAATTTTATTAGTGCTTCACCTTGCCGAATAGACAATTATGTATACGTTAATTGGGAAAATAAATGTCCCAGAAAATGCATATGAAAATCATGTAACAAGTGAACAAGATAAAGAAAACAATTCGAATTTTGCACGAAACTGTAGAAAATTTACAGTGCTAATTTACAGCTATTTTATTGCGTCAAATCAACTTATAAGCAATTGTATAATTTTAACCGTTTCATTTTTAATTACTCGTAGGGAATGAGATGGCACATTTAACGTAAGTTTTCTTCAAACTTCTCGTTTCTCGGCTGTTAATTTCGAAGCTCTTTTTACGGGTAGAATGACACAGCTCTTCTCGACTGTGTTAATTAAAAATGAGGAGCCAGTATTATAAATATAAAAATTTTGATATAAAATATTATAAAAACTTCCTTACAACTATGACTGCACTTTCGAGCACAATTTCTGATCTTAGAAGACTAAATCCAAAAGGAACAAAATCAATGATTTTGATGAATAATGATCTCAGATTTTCTTAATACCACGATCTAATACTCGGAAAATAGAATTGCTTTCGCTCTCCGAGCATCGCCGCGACCAACCAGCGCATTATCGAATCAAAGGATGCAATGTAAGAAACGCATTGCACATCCGATTCATGCTCTAGCCAGTCTGCGACTTTCTATTGGCAATTGAAGACGTGTTACTGCAATTTATCAATCAAATCTCAAAGCTCCCCTTTGCATCTGTGGGAGCGTGCAAGAAGAACGCGTGTAAACAACGTGACCTACACATGTACAGGGTGTCCCAGTAATCATATTTCATCCTAAAGAAGGTACATTTTAACGCTTTACAATTTTACAAATTTTCTTGTTCGGTATAAAAGTGAGAAAATTATATTTATCTACATTTTGTACCGATTTCATTGAACGTGCTTCAAGAATCGAATCGTTTGCCATGACAGTGTCTGCATAACTTCAATGACGATTCTAAACAAGAAAACTTTTGTTAAATTTTAAAGTGTTAAAATGTATCTTCTTTAGGATGAAAGATGATTATCGGGAGAAATCGTCATTGAAGTTATGTCACCGAAACCGATTAGATTTCCATTGTTGAAGCGCGTGCAATGAAATCGGTGCAAAATATAAATAAATAGAATTTTCTCACTTTTATAAGGCTCGCCGAATATATTCTCAACCACCGAACGATTCGGCGACTGCACGATAAAATCTGATCAACCGCTCGATTGACAATTTAATTGCGACGTTCTTTGTTCGATTTCCCCCGTTCGTCGCTTTCCCATTCGCTGGGGAAAAGAGCTCGCGAATTACGCGAAAGTATGCTTTCGTAAGCAGAATGAAAATATAAGAAAGGAACCTAACGAGCAGCTTCGCAGCTTCCGTAAACGGTTGAATAACTGTTCGAGATATAATTTTATCGAGCAAAGTTGAACTTCGTCGAAGCTCCGCTGCATTGAAGATCGATCGCGAATCTCAGAAGCGGAGTGTCTTTTCGTAAGCCTACTTCTCTCCTTCGCGTTTCCTACCGGGACACCCTGTACAGAATACATGAATTATGACTCGAGACACAATGACTCACACATATGTTCCCCGAGCGGCCACACTTCCGGTCCGGAGTTAACCTCGACGAGGACAGTGGGGGTGCAAATCAGAAGGACGAAAAGGTCGGCCACGCTCAGGTTCACCAGGAAGATGTTCGTACTGTTCCGCATGTCTTTTCCTCGGAACACGACCAATGGTACCTGTAAAAATAACAACCGGAGTCATTTTGTAAAATTTCAAATGTCTTCCAGAGTCTCGAGTCTTCTGTCATCTTGAGACGGCAATGCTCCGCGAGAAAATTCAATTCAAAGCTGTGAGATTATTTATCCTCTATCCTGATTATTTATCCTTTAAAACGAGCACTGGCAGAATTTTGTACGACTATTTTATACCATGTTACATGAGTTCGAAAGCCGAAAACTTTTCGATTCTGATTTCTTATTATTTAACTTTGTACCTCATTAACCCCCTAACGCACAGTTTTTTTGAAAAAAAAACCGGCCAAAAAATTCGATTTTTGGTGGAGAATTTTGATATACTGCGCTTTTGTTCCATGGAAAAAGGCTATATTTTATTCTTGAATAAATAATGATAAATATCATGTAAATGATAAATATCATGATAAATACCATGTAAATGATAAATATCAATAAAACGATTTTTTTTTCGTTGCTTTCACATTGTTATTTTCAATTCTCGATTATATTCGAATGTGAAAAATTATAGCAGCATAAGATACAACGCCGCTCGAATTATCTCGAGTGTGCACAGTTTGGCCTGTTTAGCGCGCTCGAATTAACTCGAGCGTACAAGTTAAGGGGTTAATCGATTTTATCGGTCATAGCGAATGATTTCGTTGGCCATAGTAAATGTACTCGTTCAAATGTATACAGTACAACCTCGACTATCCGAACCTTCGACGTCTAAATTCGGTGTTAATCGAGAACAGGTTTCATAAATATGTAGCTCAATCTACAAAGAACACTATTTATCGTAGATGTCAGTAAGAATTCAATCTATCGCTGTATCCGAGTGATTGTTCCACTATCCGAACGTTGACAATTCTACCGAATAATTCGGACAGCCGCGATTCTACTGTACATATTTGAGCCGTTTATTTTAAAAGTGGCATAAATCACTTTACCGTAATGAAAAGTGGTGATTTTTTAATGTTTACACGAAATTATTTATACTGAGAAAAATATCAGTATCCTGAGATAACAAATACAAGTAAATCTTCTCGAAAGTTAGCATCTCCATATTTTTAAACGTGTTAAAAAACGCAAACCCTTAAATATATCGACTTAAAAACAAAATGACTTATGCCACTTACAAAATAAACCTCTCATTTATAAACTGCAGATTTCTGCGCGAAATGTTGCGTGTAAATTGCAAGAACCGGAAGAAAGATGAAATTCTTGATCTTGCTAATTTTAATGAATCGAACGATACGCGCGCGACGATATTTTTCAAAATCTCCACGCTTCATCGTGAACGCGCAAAAATCCGCGGGCTAAATGTTCGTTCCGAAAAATGACCGGAGTTCCATACGGAACAAGCACAGGGGAAATCCCCGAACGACTCACCATGAGGTTTCCTATTATTCCAAGGACCATCACGACGATGCAGACGATCATGGACGTGGTGCGAATGTAAGCAGGCAGCATGTAGGTGGTCGCATTTTCGGACTCGACCACTGAAACATCGTTCCCCACAATCGTCCCCCATTACCTACGGTTCATTCGATCGAAACAGCGAATCGTATTCGCCGTGAAGAACAGTTTCCGTATTCGCAAAAATCGGAGATTAACACGGCGGATGATCCCGCGATTCGCGAACGCCGGCGCAAGAAACACCGGCGTTGTCCATCGGGTTTTCCTGCGGCGTGCGTGGATCGCGAAGCTTCGCGAATCAGGGATTCGATGAAATCGAAGCGACCGATACCGTGACGGTGTGGGTAGCGCGTTATTTTCGACGAGCGCATTGTTTTGCTGCGGCACGAGGGCCCTCAAAACTGTTTACCGTGCTGAAAATTCCGGGAAATTATCGGCGCGCATTAATACCACGCGGCATAAACGAGAAGCGTGGACGTTCGGCGTTACAGGGCGCGTCGCATTGTCCGGGCGGCGATTAATCGTGCCAATTAATCATGAATCACGATATGCGCAATTCAATCGGATTAATTGCTAGCCAATCGGGCGCCGATTCATTTGTCAAATCGGATAACCGTTCAATTCGTTTAATTCGCGCGTGGGTCTGGCGAGCCGAGGCGGGACGTACCGGGCAGATCATCGTGGGCATCGTTCCCGATGACGGTCGCGTAGTAGGAGGAATTCAACTCGAGCGGGACACTGGACACCGTGGACAACATTTTCCAGCCGGGGCCGATCGAATCATCTGCACAGAGTCCGTGTCAATTGTCCATCTCCTCCGCTCTTTCAAATTCCGCTCGAGTAGGCCGGCGTTTCTGTCGAAGCCCCGTTTCGGCCCGGCTCACATGTTTGGTGGCAGATCTACGGAGAGATCTACGACGGAGGTCTCCTGGGCCGGCAAATCGATCCTCGATGTGGTTCTACGTGGGCAGTTTTACGTTGTAACCACCGCTAATTCGCGTGGCGATCTTGCAGAGACTGCGGAGTTCGCGAAGTGTCGACTCGCGAGGAAAATCCATCGGGAGCCGCGAACGGGGACCGGATACGGTGTCCTTCGAGTTCCAGGCGGCCGCGGGTATCGTTAACAAGGTGGTATTAAGTGACATTATAAACTGCTTCCAAGAGCTGGTTCACTTCGTCGGAGTGTCGCTCCGGAGGGCGCCGGCTATATCCGAACCGGTAATCAGCCGTTCCACCCACGGTTCCCAGGTTCCCGTCTTCTTCAACCGGCGCACTCCGTCAATCTTTTCGGACAGCCAATTCGGACATAATCAGTTTAACCCCCTAGAGGCCCATCGGCAGAGATAGTTATACATAATAGGTTCGTTATCCTAGCCTGGCTTGGCGTTTCTGTTTGCGGTCGCGGCTCGTTGACGGCATCGCGAACGATGGCTTTGTGGAAAATTGCGGTTAGATCGGCGGAGGATTAAAATAGGGTCTGAGCGACGTGTTTGGAAGACTTTCTGGACCCAAATCTGGTCGCGGTATAGACAGACCTAGATAGATCTTGCATCGAATCTAAACGGAATCAAGATAGAACCTGGATAAAACCACTGTTATGTACGCGTGTAAATTAAAGAAAATTGTCCAAACAGGATCTGTATAGATGAGATCTACGGACTCCGCAGGGGATCCGAGCAAAATATCATTCATAGATTATGAATAGAATAAGTAGATAAGTTTTAGGCAAAATCAAGCTAGAATCTGGTCAGAGTATACTCACAGACAGAATTTAGGCAAAATTTAGACAGAATTTAGACCGAATTTAGACAGAATTTAGACAAAATTTAGATAGACTTTAAACAGAATTTAGACAGAATTTAGACGAAATTTATACAGAATTTAGACAGAATTTAGATAGAATTTAGACGGAGTTTAGACGGAATTTAGACAGAATTTAGACAAAATGTAGACAGAATTTAGATAAAATTTAAACAGAATTTAGACAGAATTTAGACAAAATTTAAACAGAATTTAGACAGAATTTAGACAGAATTTAGACGGAGTTTAGACGGAATTTAGACAGAATTTAAACAAAATTTAGACAGAGTTTAGTCGGAATTTAGATAGAATTTAGATATAGTGTAGACAAAATTTAGACATAATGTAGACAGAATTTAGATAGAATATAGGCAGAATCTATATACAATATGCAAATATGCTCTGTAGAGAGAATCTATACACGAGTTTTAAGCAGATAGATGGCAGAATTGAGACAAAATTAAGATAGATCGTGGAAATAGGATTCACGTAAAACCCTTGTAAAACCAATGTAAAAGAAATGCAGAATACATATAGAACTGCTGCAAACTCGATACGCGTATAGTAAACCTTTACAATGTACATCTATAAAATATTTGTCATTATATATGTATATGAAAAAAGAAACAACGATAATTAGAACTGCAAAGTGTAAAAATTATTTAACAATAATTCTATACGGAAGTCCCGCATGGTAGCCCAACTGCACCAAACATGAAATAGAAAAATCAATTGCCTATTAATCAATGCCAGTTCATTGCTGATCAGCTCAGTGGAATAAAATGTTTTCTTGAACGTACGAAGAATATTGTTTTACGAAGGGTTAACGGCGCGAAGGAGAATTGAAACATAACCCATATAACGGTAAAAATAGCGTCGCGCTTTCAATTCACCGGCGAATCGGTTCTTGTTACGGTGGTAGGTGCTGGAGATAAATATTTTTATCCTGCCTCCTTTGTACGGCCATCCCGTCTATCACTCATAAACGCCGTATGTGGGTCGCAGCACCTCAAGTATTTACCTTGGCACAGTCGGTTAACACCAATTAACTCCCGTCTTATCGAAATCTATTCGGAACCTAATTCCGCCTCGTTCCAGCCGATCGTGACGCCTCAACTAGTTATGAATTGCGCTCTTCGAACGACCTGCCTCAACCTCTCCCTAATTATCAATTTTGCCTTTCTAAAAATACGGCGGAACGAACAGATATCCAATTTTCTTCGTGCTAAGAAATTGCCCGCATCGATATCGATCTATCAAATTGCACGTGAAAATTGACTAAAAAAAGGTTATCACGCGATATACCGCGGATTATGCGATATAAGAATTTTATAAATCGACCGTCGGTTGCAGAAGTTAATTAAAATGTGTATTTCTCCTTCGAATGATTTCAATAAAATTCGAGAAAACGTAATCAGGGGTCTTGCAATTTTGAAATGCCTTCGCTGTTTGACATTTCGCTCATTCATATAATAAATACGTAAAATCCGCGGTCTAGTTATTAACTATTTACGTTAGCTTTCATAAATTCCGTTTAGTCCGTGTCAACTCTATTTCCTGACCTTTATCGCCCGTCCAATTTTCTTCCCGGATAAAACGTCTGCATTTCCGTCAAACGGCTTCGAATGTTAATATAAAACGAGCGAATACTTTTCCGACGCACTGTACACACCGCGTTCGACTTCTCCACTTTCGACGAGCTTTAGCGCACATGGCAATTACTCCTGCATACACGTACGTGCATCGCTACCACGTGAAGCAAAAACAAACAAACAAATTACACGAACCGTCTCTTTTTTTGGACAACAGAATCCTTACGCCAACGATTTCGAATAATTGGTTCGAGCTCCGACAACATCCCGCACCGAAATAACGAAGCAGTTGTCACCGGAATCCGGTTAATTGTCCGCAAACAATGTTTACTAAACGCCGGGTAAACCCCTGGTGTTCCGCTCTTCCAGTTCGCCGGGTAATATAAGCGGAACGCTTGCGTCGTCGTTAATTATCTCCGAATGATTAATTACGTCGGAGAGTAGCCCGCGACTTTTTCTTCGACTAAAAAGTCCGGCACGCGATTTTGCAGCGCGAAACAGTCGCGGATTAATCGTTTTAACAGACTTCGAATAATCGCGCGATCGTTTCGACGATGTTCATCGATCGAGGAATATCGATGTATCGTCGCTTGAAAGTCCCTACGTGGAGATTGGTCAACGCGGTGGTGAAAAACATTGGCGAGGTAACTTTGCTAATAACGAATAAAGTGGAGACTATAAAGCCAATGTAAAGTCTACTAATGACTTATTAATTACTGTAATCACTGTCGGACGATCGTTGCGATTCAGAGCGACGCATACTTTTGAGCGACAGTGCGCGTCGATGCTCAACCGGTGCATCGCGGAGCGGACTTCATCTCACCCTCGTTCACCAAAACGGCTGTTACAGCACTTCTACCACTCGAAATATCAATGAAATGCCAGTCGTTCGATCGGTTCATCGTTTCACGGAATAATACTGTAAATTGTTCATAGATCTCGCAGCTGCGTCGCTTCGTCCAGAATGCCCAAAAGAAGGGACGCCGCGACGAGGCGCGACATATCTTCCCGGAATTAATTAAGTTCGAGTTGTCACCACCCGAGAGAGAACTTCACAAACTACGATTCACAACGTTTCGCGTTGTTATAAACTTCTCGGTAATTTTGTGTTCGGAAATTCGACGAGAAATCGACCGTCACCGTCGACAGTGTCACTGTTCACAGCGGAGATCGCGCCGTTTCGAAATCGGCGATCCCGTTCACAGAACCGCGGAATTTCGGGGGATCGCGATAATGACGCGTGTTGTGACAGGGAACCGACCGACCAGGTTTCTGGAAGAACGACAACCGTGGCGATCAAATAGTGCCGGTGAACTGAATGAAGATCGCTCGGCCCGCCACGATCCTCGAAGCCTGCATTGCGCATGCGTGCACTTTTATCCTACCGCGATCCCTTCGCACGCGCTATGATAACATTTTCAATTTCGTCGGCCCACGTGAAAGGTTACAGTCGATGCTAATTGAAAAAAAAACAACTCCATTTCTCCGACTCTCCGTCCTATATTCTTATCTGTCCCCCTTAATCCCGCTTCTCGTTACCTTTTCGCACGATCGGTAAATTCGAGCCGTTCGCGGTGACCGCGGATACGGAAGTTCGAAATTGAAAATCGCATTTCATTCGATGGCGAAATAACGGATTGTTTATTGCGATCCACGTTATTTATATGCGCAGTTGTCACGACGAGGCGCAGCCAATTAAAAAAATTGATACACCTCTGCCGAACGATGAATATTTAAAATTAAATAAACGAAGATTTTTAACATGTTTTGCAATGAATTCGTTCATTTAGTAGTGTTTGAATGTATATGAATTGATTTATCAACGTGGATTCTTTTATTCATAACATATTTTGTAATCGAGTGATCGTAAATTCATGTAGAGAGATTCTGAAGAAAGCAGGAAATCCTTTGGCTATTAAGGATCATACTAAGCGAATATAATCGCAAAATAAATATTGCACACACATTGCAAATTTTATCCATGCGTTTCTAACTCTCGTTTATTTGTATTTATAATATTTTTATTTATATCTTTTTATAACGAAGTTATATATGTATATATATATTCTAATAAAATATATTTTCTTATAATGAAATGTAAAACTATTGACAGAGTATAAAATGTTACATTGTCAATAGTTTTACATTTCATTATAATTTTATATATATATATATAATAATAATAAATATATATATATATAAAAATAAATAAATATTAAATATATAATAAATAATATATATATATTAATATATATATTTTATATTTCATTATAATATATATAATTTCATTAGAAAAAAAGATACAAATAAACGAGACTTAGAAACGCAAGGATAAAATTTACAATGTTGTGAACATTTATTTTGCGATTATATTCGCTTAATATGATCCTTAATAGCCAAAGGCTTCGCCGCTTGAAATAAAAGTTAGGTGATCGAATGGCGTCGGAATTCGACCGAGTTTCGCACAAGGAAACGAGCGACGAATTCGCCATAACTGCAGAGATACGCAAGAATCCGAGTGTCCCGGAAGTGTTCCGAGAATTTCTTCGATTACTTTGATATCCATTTAGGCAGCTTACGGACTGGAAATTCCCGTCCGACCTCCGGAAGAGAAGAATCGGGATTCTTCCGCGATTCGGTTTTAGATGCTTCAGCGATTCACAAAGAACGTTACCATATTCGGTATGGGACGCTGGCTTACCGAGATAGAAAAGGAAAGTTTATAGACAATGTTTATGCGCGTAGATCGACGACTGTGTCGTCACAATGGAAAAAGTTTCGGCCGATTTATATCGGAACAGCGGAAAAGATTGAACGCCGAGCGTTCAAATAAATCGCTTCGGGGCCTTTTTCTGTATAGATCTAAAATAGTATCAAAAGTTTCTGTTTTGTTCCGCGTCTCGCCAATCATATTTACCTTTTCAGAGAATATGGATTCTTCACGCCTTATGGCTCCATTCTGCCTTTTCATATAAATCCATTGTCTTTTTGCCATTTTTATAAAGATTCCTTTTATGCAGATACCGTTTTTTATTTTGGAACGAACGTCGCCAGTTTCTAATACATCGACCGTTCTATTAACGTTTTAGCTTTAATTTAATCAGTTTTATTAACTGAAGAAATCATTAACAACTGAAGACATCGCGACGAATTTTTCTGCAGCAATTTCACGCGACGTTCGGACCATTTTCTAAAAAACGAATAAGCGTTTCTTGTAAACGAATACTCTTTTTAAATGTACACATGTTGTATTATACTTGAAATCACCAACAATTGTTCCATATATAAATACCAATCAACAAATTAACGTTAAGGAACATATATTTCGTAAATACAAGTGCCAGCTAACATTGCTTTATCCTTGGTTAAATCGACGTTTAATGTGTGACAATTATTAAAAATGTCGATTAATAAAGTACTAATATAAACGTATCGTTGTTGTCACTGTTTCTACATTTCTTATATACGAAGTGTCGATAATAACGTTTGTCGGTGAAACGAGAGTCGATGTAAACATTTGTCGGCGATTTCAACGTGTCGGCAAGTATACGTATAAACAATGATCGATGAAATGCGGTGTCGCTGCTGAGAAACCGTGTCGACGAAAACATTGCCGGTGAAATAACTGTTGGCGATTTCAAGGTAACCCGCACAATCGCCAGCAGCATTTTCCAAATTGCGAAATCGTAGAAGAACGCTTTCAAAAATCGGGATCCTCGGCGAATCGCGTGTTCAGGAAAACCGTTTCCGAAATAAAATGCTGTTAATCGAGCAGTTTTGAATATTTCTTAGCAGAAACATTGCCACAACTGCAACAATATGTGTATGTATGCTTTTGAGTGAAGTGCTCGTTCGAAGAAACGAACCGTTAACATCTTCGGTTCAAGAATTCCTAAAAAGTCACGTTCCTCTCGCATTCTCGGGTCACGAGATTTTATTAGTTGGACCATGGAATTGGCGTCGGGGAGATTTTCTAAGAGCTCGACCTCTCTTCCTCGATAAAGTCAGATTACTGAATGTGCGTGGACAATGGACGAGTTCCATTATGGTCGAAGTCGTCCGCGGTTCAAAGAGAAACGAGCGTCGCGTCGGAACCTTTCGCGTGCACAACCCCGACGGCTGGCGTTCTTTCGGGTCTGGGAATTAAAAATTTGTAACTTGGAACGTTATCCAGCAAATTGAGTGTCCTGGGACGTATGCTGAAAACGTTGCGAGTGTTATGAAGCGGCGAATAAAGCATGACGAATAAAACTTGGCGAATCGCGAGAACGTATTGCCCTCCTTTTAGAATGCTGTATTAACCCTTTTGCACTCGAGTGGTGACTCTGGGTCAGCATTTACAATTGTTACATCACGTTTCAAGATAATTTTTATATTATGAAGGTTTAGATGTAAAATATTGTTAAAAGTCCAATTGTTGTATGAATCACAAGACTAAATTTCATATGCATAAAATGCACCTTATCGTATAAAATGGAAATACCGTAAGTCGGGAAAAATTAATTTAGATTTACATTTAAAATGGCTTCGAGTGCAAAGGGTTAAAAACTTCGGCCTGAAGAACGTTCCCATTAACTCTCGAACGACGGACTTTTCTGATATGATGTAACTGGATACACTCGCGATCGTTTATCTTTTTATTTATCAATTTTTACCAACATATTTTTCATGGTATTCCTTCTAGATATGTTATAGCTTTTCTATAGTATAGTATAGTTCTTCTATAGGCTTTATCGAAACATGTGAAGATCGAAATCAGTTGTCAGAAACTTGACATTTGGATATCAATCGGAGTCCGCCGTTCGAATGTTAACCCTTTGCGCTCGAGTGGTGACTCTGAGGCACCACTAAAATTTGTTACATCACGTTTTAAGATAATTTCTATATGAACAAAGTTTAGATTTAAAAAATTGTTAAGAGAGTAATTGTTGTGTGACTCCCAAGAGTCAATTTCGTATGCATAAAATGCATTTCGCCATATAAAATAAAAACACTATAAGTTAGAAAAATAATTTTATATTTACAGTTAAAATAGCTTCGAGTGCAGAGGGTTAAACGAATGAAACAACGAAAGATAACACGACCGAGAAATTTGATAATCGCGAAACAACCGGCGTCGACAAAGAATCCAGGCAAGTTTGAATCGACCGAATTGACGATACATTTCGCTGTGATCGGCTGAATAGAGAAGATCGTGCGAACAGAGTGGAATGCGCTTCGATTCATAATATGGGATTCCGTTTAACTCGNCAGTCAATTTCATATGCATAAAATGCATTTTGCCATATAAAATAAAAACACTATAAGTTAGAAAAATAATTTTATATTTACAGTTAAAATAGCTTCGAGTGCAGAGGGTTAAACGAATGAAACAACGAAAGATAACACGACCGAGAAATTTGATAATCGCGAAACAACCGGCGTCGACAAAGAATCCAGGCAAGTTTGAATCGACCGAATTGACGATACATTTCGCTGTGATCGGCTGAATAGAGAAGATCGTGCGAACAGAGTGGAATGCGCTTCGATTCATAATATGGGATTCCGTTTAACTCGTGCTTCCCTTCTTTTGCAACGAATGTACAATACGTGGAGAACGAAGAGACGGTCCTTTCGAAATGCTGAAGCGTCGAGGCAGCGGGAAATTTCGATTCGAATCTCGGAAGAGCTGGGGCAGTTGATACTTCAGTTACTACGATCTTGCATTCGGCGCAAAGCATATTATAATTTTGCGTCTGTCATTCCTCGAGATCATAAACGAAGCATGATATTTCGAGGATCTTCAAATTTTCTACAGTAAATGCTCTTTTAACCCTTTGCACTCGAGGCCACTGCAACTGTGAATCGAAAACAATTTTTCTGCTTTACAGTATTTCCATTTTATTAGGTTGGGAAATAAGTTCGTAGCGTTTTTATATTTTATTTTATTTTACAACGATTCTTTGCTGTTTGACAAAGTGTATAATATTCATTCGATAGGGCTCATGCTGCTCCACAAAACTTTCTGCTCGATAAAACTATACGAAAAGATGTTTCGAATAAATAAATCTTGATTCGATCAACAGAAATTAAATCTTAAAGCCTGCAATAAAACGTAGCTAGCACAGTATTTTAAGCAGATTAGAAATAAATATCGATCAAAAGCAAAATAGCAATTCTTCAGAAATGAATCTTAACTATTAGGTTGGGGAATAAGTTCGTAGCGTTTTTATATTTTCTTTTATTTTACAACGATTCTTTGCTGTTTGACAAAGTGTATAATATTCATTCGATAGAGCTCTTGCTGCTCCGCAAAACTTTCTGTTCGATAAAACTATACGAAAAGATGTTTCGAATAAATAAATCTTGATTCGATCAACATAAATTAAATCTTGAAGCCTGCAATAAAACATTGTAGCTAGCACAGTATTTTAAGCAGATTAGAAATAAATATCGATCAAAAGCAAAATAGCAATTCTTCAGAAATGAGTCTTAACTATTAGGTTGGGGAATAAGTTCGTAGCGTTTTTATATTTTATTTTATTTTACAACGATTCTTTGCTGTTCGACAAAGTGTATAATATTCATTCGATAGAGCTCTTGCTGCTCCACAAAACTTTCTGTTCGATAAAACTATACGAAAAGATGTTTCGAATAAATAAATCTTGATTCGATCAACATAAATTAAATCTTGAAGCCTGCAATAAAACATTGTAGCTAGCACAGTATTTTAAGCAGATTAGAAATAAATATCGATCAAAAGCAAAATAGCAATTCTTCAGAAATGAATCTTAACTATTAGGTTGGGGAATAAGTTCGTAGCGTTTTTATATTTTCTTTTATTTTACAACGATTCTTTGCTGTTTGACAAAGTGTATAATATTCATTCGATAGAGAGCTCTTTCTGCTCCACAAAACTGTGCTAATCGTCTTTTTGAGTGATTTAATTTTTTATTTCTTTTGAGGCTTAGAAATGGAATATCCAGGAGGTAAAAAGCAAAGTTTTCGACACCTTCTCTTCTTCGCTTTTCATCGAGGCCACAAAGCTGCCGAAGCAGCCCGGGACATTTGCAACGTATACGGAGAAGGTGTCATAGGCGAGTCTACAGCACGGAAATGGTTTGCGAAGAAGATGCGAGACGTTTCGGGCGGCCGACGCCGATGAAGTTAAATCTCCGAGATCCGTTCTATTCACGGTGAAATCGACGAGCAAACGAATTGATCACGTGTTGCGATCGTCGCGAAACTGTATCCCAATCTTGCAAATTGCGTTTAAAGCTTTAGGTGGATCTGATGGATTTTTCACTAATATATCGGGTCGTTCGAAAAGTTGTTTCGTTCTTTCGCGAGAAAATGCAAGACGATTCTTTTAATGTTACGAGTAAAAGCAAACTTTTCTGGTAGCTTTGAAATCTTATTGTTTTACATTTGGACAAATACTTGTAATTTTTATGAAAAACGAAACAACTTTCCGAACGACCCAATATATTTCTAGCAGCAGTTGATACATAGGTAAGCTTGTTTCTTAATATTATCTAAAATTATTTTAAAGCTTCTGTGTATAATCTCAATAATCTCAATAGTATGTATTCTTTTCTACTTTATATTATAAAAATTCGGTCGATCTCTGTCCCATAATTCTGGTATAAACCGACCATACTAATCCGAGAGAATTCGAGCACATTAATTGTTCCGCCCTTCAACGGAATTTTTATTCCTCCTCTATCCGGTTTTCTTCAAAACGAATTTGCTTTCTTTCCACGTTGAAAGTAACTTGATTTCCAAAGAATTCTATTTGGCTCAGCGAGACAATACTGTATACCTTCAACGAACGGTATGCACTTAATAAAAAGTCCCGTCTGTTATGTTTATAATTTCTTAGAGCAGCCGTCTTCTTTCTCGTCTGTTTACAATTTCTTAGAGTCATAGCCGTCTTCTTCCTCGTCTGTTAGGTTCACAATTTCTTCGAGTCACAATCGTCTTCTTTCCGGCGATAAAGTAGTCGATGCACTTTCGCACGATAGAGTACTGCACACTTGATCGACAGCGTATTTTCGATTTACAGATCACCTGCGGTACTGCTTGTTACGTGTCTTTTTTTCCCTTCCCTTTCCATCGCTCTGTTCCATCGATCAGTTTCTAGTTCTCTGTCTCTTCGAAGATTATAAAAAACTCAAAAACAATTCGCCTGTTTTCGCAGTCTCGGTCTGCTTCAGTCGGACTTTGTCTCTCAGCCTTAGACCATCGAGTTTAGTGCTTCGACGTGCTTCAACGTGCTTTAACACTAAACCTACCGTGGTCGAAGTGGCCGTTTCCTTATTTTGTAATTCTGCAAAGTTCCGAGACTCTTTCGTGGAAAAGGCTTGTATAAGTTATATTATTGGAGCTTTACAAATTCTAAATAAATTCCGGTCTCCTCACTTTTGTGAAGCAGTACGTGCCAGTTAGCATTACTGCTTGGTAGGTTTAGTGTTAAATCATAGTAGTCATCGTAGTGCTTCAAATTCGGTTTACAAAAAGTGGCCATGATAGGCAGGAGAGTTAAAAGGACGCGTAAATGGAATGAACAGTCCTTAAAACAGGCAATGGAATGCGTTGAAGAAGGTCGAATGAATGTGTTTCAAGCCTCCCTCTATTTTGGAATTCCAAACTCAACGTTAAGACACAGATTGTTGAAGTCTAATCCAAGAGAACCGTACGAAGTGCCGAATGAATATTTTGTAGCGTCGTCCATGGTAGACAATGCAATACCACGTTGCGCAGAACTAATATTGTTGCATCACATAAAACAGCTACGAAAATTTGGATTTGCACCCGACCAAACCATTGTTAGAAATTGGGCTTTACAATTGGATAAAAAATTAAATTTAAGCGACAAGTTTAATGATGAGAGCGAAGTCGAATACGATTGGATTTGTTCGTTTTTGCAGCGCCATCCAGATTTGTTGGTCAGAGAAGCTACAGAAATCTCCATCGCTGCTGTTATTGGTATGAATCGAAGAAGTCTGAAATATTATTTTACATTACTGGACAACGTTTTAACCGAAAATGGACTCCACGACAAGCCTTCTAATATCTTTAACATGGACGAGATCTACGTGCAACTACACACTAGACCAAAATACGTGTTGGCTGCAAGAGGGTCGAAGAATATGTTGTCGTTGACACCGAATAAAAAGGGTGAAACAATTTCGATCATTGCTTGCTGCAACGCAGAGGGGATGTTCCTCCCACCTTACGCAATATTTAAAAGTGAAACCGAGAAAGATGAATATCTAGATGGAATGCCGTCTGGTTCTCAAATTGTCACGACGGAAACATCGTTGGCGTATGTCGACGATACCATTTTTAAGAACTGGTTAAAGACACATTTTCTGCCTAGAAAACCAACCGAAACAGCGTTGCTGATCGTAGATGGTCGTACTCACCACATTAATTCATTGGATGTATTGGACTTCTGCGAAAGGCAGAATATCATTCTATTTTGTTTACCGAGTCACGCGAGTCGTTACCTGCAGCCACTAGATAGGGAATTCTTCAAATCGTTCCAAAATAACTACTTCGTGGCTTGTAAGAATTTTCAAACGACAAATTCAAATAATACAATACACTTTGGCAAACTTCTCTCGCAAGCTTGGAGTAAATCTGCAACTGTGGCGAATGCAGTGACCGCTTTTAATGTTACAGGCATTTCACCCTTTAATCCAGATGCCATTACAAGTTACGCGTGCACCGCTATAGAAATGGAAGAAGATGCAGCAGCTACTGCATCATACAATTCGATTTAAGCCTGTCCTTTTCCCCATCTCGCACAATTCACGCGACTAACATTTATAAATTTTCACCAGGCCGTTGACACGATTTAAGACATTTCAATCATTCCAAACGATCCGACACCAAGAAAGATTGTTACATAACATTTCACCGATTCCACGAGCATCAAGACAAAGAAGAACAAGGGAATTGTAAAGAAAAGCGTAGGAATGTTTCGATTAAAAGGGGGAAGAATGTGAAGAAACGTGGAGAACACAAGAAAGTGACACGTTATTGGAAGAACGGGGTCTGAAATGAACGCGTGAGATGCAGAGAGGATTACATATATGCTTCGAAATTGACAAAAAATGACGACCGACTTAAATGTGTGAGATGTAATCGTTGTTATCACGAGAGATGCTCCAAATATGAGAATTTTTGTGATTTGCATGGGAAACACACTGAAGACAAAATAACATTACTTTCTTTATTTATAATATCTTTTGTAAGCTACAGTTAGGGCTATTTTTCGAGATCGCTTTCACCCGTCGTAAGTGGACACCCTAACCCGGTGTTGCAGATGAGATCGTCCACTTACAGTATTTTTGTTTTATATATTAATATATTATATATTATATAAAATGGTAGTGTCTGTATTTTAGATATATGTTTATATATATAATATAATATAATATAATATTTTAAATATATATGTATAAACATATATCTAAAATATAGACACTACCATTTTATATAATATATAATATATTAATATATAAAACAAAAATACTGTAAGTGGACATATATATATATATATTTACTTATAGTACATTGTTTAGATATATGTAACAATCGATAGCAGTTGAACATCCTCTACACGTCTTACCGGTCATTCGGCAGTAAACATTTCCTTGACACCGGCTCTATTTCGGCCTGAATTTCCGCGAGCATGAACATTGTATATATCGTATTATATACGCTTTTTCGCTTATAGAAACGTTAAATCAAACTTCGTCTATTATTATTTTCTGTATTATTCGCTTTCTATTATTGTACGGTAACTAGATTTAATAACATTTTTATATTTTCGTGACAATAGTATTAAGTAACATTTATTTTATTTATTTTAATCGTCGTGACTGGTATGTAACATTTAAACAATTATACAATATATAATAATATGGGAGGCTTACAGTAGTTTAGTCTTACACTTCTTTACCTAAATAATACATAACAAATTATTGGTTGCCATGACAATCAAAGAGCAGGCTACCGGTCGGAGTAAATAGCCGATTTATAGGTTATCGGTCGGTAAGCGTTGGGAACAAAAAGCCGATTTATATAGGGTACCGGTCGGTAAGCGTTGAACACAAGAAGCCGATTAACAGGCCACCGGTCGGTAAAGTGTTTAATTACTAAAATAATTATTTGTAAAAAATTAAAAAAAATTAAATTTATTTATAATTTAATTTCCCATAATTTAAATTAAATAATTTCACTAAATTTTAATTATTTAATGAAAAAATGAAAAAAATCGGAGACTGGACCTCGCTGCAATTTGGTTAATGAAATAAAATTCCGAAATACCACAAGAATATGATATTTTTGTTTTCAAAAAGTGTTCGGACTCTCTCCCGGACATAAACTATTTCATTAGATGAATCTACGAAAAATCATCTCGCACGATTAACTAAAATTTTGCACGGTTAACGCGAATCATTCGAGTTATACAATTTAACGATTACGATAGGAACAATGACATTATATCCATCGAAGATTGTGTTCAAAGTTGAAGTTAATCCATTAATTAAACCAATGGTATCATGTCAGACATAACGGAGAATCTGATTTCGAGAAAAGCGCGTTTAACGTGTTATATAGCTTTGTTATTCTAACGAATTAAGGGAAGTCCTTTCGCGTACATGTTTTTAAAGTCGTATCCGCGATAACGCCGCACAAAGTTGGGCTGGATCGAGAAATTCAGTGACATTCTGTTATAACTTTTGAACCATCAAAGATATTGCAATGAAATTTTCACCAAAAATATTTAAAAAATAGTTATTTTCAACTGTAGATAATTAAATTTTGTTTGCATTCGTTAAACAATAATCTTTAATTAATTTTCATTGACATTTCTTGTGAAAAAAAAATTGTTCAAATATAATGTTACAAACTATTTGTAACATTACAATAGTAACGTACCTGGAATTACTAGTGGGTCCTCGTAACCAGTGTGGGTGTAATACCGACTCGAACATAGAGACATTATCTTCGATATCTTTAACCTCAAAGTAACGTAACGTTGATATCTTTAAAACGTAATAATTTACAATCTGGTTCGTCTTGGTATGTAACTTTTACAGAATCATGTAAAGGAAAGTATCTTGAAACTGTGAGTCCTTGGGTGTCAAAAGATATTCCTTGTCGAATGTAAAGAATTTTTACACTTTTTCTATTTTATTAAACATTATATTTTTCATATATAGAATACGATAATCTTAATTTAAGCTACTGTTTCTTAAAAAAAAGAAAGCAAAGGAAACAATTAATTAGGTTCGTCGGGACATCGCGAGAAAAAGAAGCATATTTTTTGGCGTCAAATGTAGTGCTTAAAATGTTCAACTTTAAATTGTCGTATCTATTACAATTTATCATCATTTTGATTAATATTTCCACTTTCGAGGGTAACGGACGTTTAACAAGCAATAAAAATTGACCGGAGACATCGATATGAGAAAATTAGGTTTTTGTCAAAAAAGTCACTAAAGTCTTCGATCCGGCCCACTGTGCGCCGGTCCAACTTCCGATATAAACAGCGCTGTCGATGAAATATTTCGGCCGTTTCCCCGAAAGGGAACCAACCACTTAATAAAAAGCATCGTATAAGGAAAGTGAAACCGGCGCAAGACGTCGGAAAATAAACGGCGTTGCCGCGATGCGTACCGTGAAATTAAATTCCTCGGCGCGAACAGCGCTTATACCTTTACAGCCGCGGTTTGATGTCCGCGGGACAAGAAGGCTCGTCCGCAACAATGTCGTTAGACGAGTCTGGGATCTTTTTTTTCTAATAAGATCCGTGGGGAAGGATAAGCCTCGTGTCGTCGCGAAATATTTTTTCTGCCGTGGGATCAATTTTCCTCGGAACGGACGTCGCGGGGATCAGGTTATTGCGTTGTTCCGCGCTTTAGTGCGGCCTAAACACTAATCCGGCGGACTGGCCCAGGCATCGAGAAAATCGATTTTGCGATGTACAAGTAACGTTTTCTTGTCGTTCACGATACGTGTAATATTTTCTTTGGAATTAGCGAAGAACAATGGAATTAGAGACTGATCTAGAGACTGAATAGAAGATCACTGAACTTCGATTTCTGGCTTTGCCATGATTAAGGATTAAATTCTGGCTAGAATTTGTTCAATAACTCGTTTCATTTTTACACTGTAACAAAAATCAACTAGATTTCGACGAACGCATTCTTTATTCCATAATTCGTATGCATTACAGTGCGATGAATTCTTCCTACTTTTCCATCAGTTTGTAAGCAAAACAATTTGGACGATTTAGGAAGAGAAGATACGATTAATCGAGCCTTGCGCATCGTTTTTATAATTGTTGACGGAATCGGAAACTATAAAAATGAGCCGGTAGGCTCGAATAATCGCGTCTCGTCTTCCCTAATTTTCCATTTTTGTTTTACAAGCTGAAGAAAAACCGGGGAGAATTTCTACTGTATTTGGATTTCACAATGTCATCGATCGTTTTTCCAGCGAGCTTAGCACGACGAATTCGCGCGTGGTCGCTGCAGCCGTTCAGAACGTTTGCCGCCGAGTTTAGAATACGAACGGAGCAAGTTAGTATACCGTCGGTACACTGAGTACATGGCCGAGACGCAAAACTAAAAGCAGAATCATCCTGATGCCGAGTCTCGTCTTTACTTCCGAAGTAGGTCAGTTCAATATTTCATAGCCGTCACTTCGCCACAGGATAACGGACATTATTAAACGGCGTTACATAATTAAACGAGCACTTTACCCAAAGAATGGAGGAGAAAAAAGGACTGCAGTCGGAAAAGAAACCGTGAAACGCGTTTCCATTAATTCGATCGCAGTTCCGTGGTCCGGTTCCGCGGTCCAAAACGAAAGATAAAGAGAACAAGCAGGCACCCGAGGGTCCTAATGAACTTTTAATACTCGAATCCACTTCATTAGTGCTATACACCGGCGACGCAAATACCCGGCGATAATCCGTCTGGAGTGCGTTATTCAATTACGTTTGACCGACGCCGCGCGCGAAGGATGCTGCTTCAATTATTCTTGGCGCCCAATTGCATATTTCGCGAGTCCTTCGAAAACTTTGTTACCGCGCCGTAATGATGTTCGTCTGAGCGGATCGCAGGTCGATAATCCGTATTCACTCCAGGCTTCGATTCATTCGGACGTTCGCGGATATAAATGATTCTGTCAACAGTTCGTGCGAGCATGAATATGCCGCCTAATGTCGTTGAAACTGCATCTCTCCCACTCTGTCTCTTGCATTCTCTCCCTCTGTCTCTCTGTCTCCTTCTCTCTGTCTCTTGCACTCTCTCTTCCTCTCTCTCTCTCTCTCTCTCTCTCTCTTTTGCACTCTCTTTATTTCTCTCTGTCTTCTGCACTCTCTCTCTTTCTCTCTGTCTGTCTGTCTCTCTCTCTCTGTCTCTTGCACTCTCTCTCTCTCTCTTGCACTTCTCTCTTTCTCTCTGTCGCTTTCAATATCTCTCTCTTTCTCTCTGTCTCTTGCATTCTCTCTTTCTCTCTCTGTCTCTTGCACTCTCTCTCTCTCTCTTGCACTTCTCTCTTTCTCTCTGTCGCTTTCAATATCTCTCTCTTTCTCTCTGTCTCTTGCATTCTCTCTTTCTCTCTCTGTCTCTTGCACTCTCTCTCTCTCTCTTGCACTTCTCTCTTTCTCTCTGTCGCTTTCAATATCTCTCTCTTTCTCTCTGTCTCTTGCATTCTCTCTTTCTCTCTCTGTCTCTTGCACTCTCTCTCTCTCTCTTGCACT